CACATGGGGAAGATTCAGAGGTGGTTCGCCCGGCTGCGCCTCGACCCACTACGGTCGACCCACTACCGCTCACGGTTTTTTACCTTCGGGACGCATCTCAGTTCTCACTGGCTCATTCGGTTCTGGGCCCCCTCCCCGTGACGCCACGTGAGTACGCCACCAGCGGTCTGATCGCTGTGCGCTGGCGTGGTGTGCCCCACCGCACTCACACACACACTCCATGCGCCCCCAGTGCTCCTATGCCTCCATGTCCATCACTACTGTGATCCGTACCTGGGCTCCCGGCACTTGCCGCGCGCTGTGGACAAGTGTGTTCTTTCATATCCCCACAGGCCATCTGTGCCCCCCCGCACCCCCCTGTGGCTGCCTAGTTACTGTCGTTGGGTACTTAGCAGGCTGTGATATGTGATTTTTTAGTGCTCTCGGGCGGCGGTGTGCCAACAAGGCATTGACTACATCCAGCTGCGCTTTATCCCAATAGCGACAGCTCTTAGAGGGCGAAGCCTATACGAAATAGAACGATGGTTACATACAGTAACCCGAGCTTCTATGAGTATAGGCGTAGCCCTCTAAGCTGGCGGCCCTGCTGTCCTCACCCCCGCCAGCTGAAGAAAAAGTGCTGGTGTTTATTAGGGAGTAGAGCTAAGGCCGCAGTGACATCTATACTACTGCTGCAGATGTAGTTGAGGACAACCCAGTGCAGGGCACAGGGCGCGAAAGAATCTCTTCAGGACTGCGCATGCGCGAGGGATAAACCCAATAGCGACAGCTCTTAGAGGGGTACGCCTATACTCATAGAAGCTTGGGTTACTGTATGTAACCATCGTTATTTATATGTTGTTATAGTGTCATACCTTATACAATATCTCTTTTGTGATCTGCTACTCTGTTACTCTCTGGTGACCTGCTGAAGTAAATATAATTTACTTTCACTTTGTCTTGTGCAATGGCAAGAAATTTAAGTTCAAATTTGGCAAAGAGAATGTGGTAACTGTTAAGTTTGCAACATACTGTAAAGATGCCAAAAGTTCTAAAACAAGCTTCATTCAAATTTAATAATCAATTAATAGATTAAAAAACATTTTAGTGCTGCAAATGTCCTTTGCATGTGGCCCCCATTTGAGCAGTTCCCAGCAATACATGTCTAAATAAAAATTATTAGTAGTTGCCTCCTGAGCACAAAGCTCCATTGAAACTAAGTTTGAATGCACACATGGGAAGCTCTGTCTTTCCTGTTTGGACTTGATGTTTTCAAGAACCACATTTCCTGTCTCACAACCTCTTCTGAGCTTTGCAGGGC